ACCAAGTCATCTCCTTCCCAGCTTCAGTAATAACAACATACTCAACCTCTGTTGTAGAAAGGGCCACAATTTTCTTTAACTGTGAAATCCAACTCACTGAGGTACCATCCAATGTGTAAACATAACCAATAGTACTCTTTCTGTTATCCATATCACCAGCCAAGTCTGCATCAATATAACCATGTAACCTGATGCCGATTCGTCTGAAACAAAGTGTCATGTCTGTAATACCACTCAAGTATCTAAGAATCCACTTCATTGCATCTCAATGCTGCTTTCTTGGATTTCTCATGTACCACTAACCACTTCCACTGCATGTGCAATGTCTAGTCTAGTACAAACCATAGCATACATTATGTTACCGATAGCTGAAGCATATGGAACATGTTCCATGTAAGCCTGTTCTTCTTCGGTCTTCGGAGATTGCTCTTTGGTAAGTCTAAAGTGGCTAGCCAATGGAGTGCTCACTGGTTTTGCACTATCCATGCTAAACCTCTTACGAACTTTCTTGACATACTCAGCATGTGACAACTTCAAAGTACCATTTGCTTTGTCCCTGTGAATCCTCATATCAAGGATTTTGTTTGCAACTCCAAGATCCTTCATCTGAAATTGATTGGACAAAAGTTTCTTCAATCTTTTTATCTTTTTGATGCTAGATCCTGCGATAAACATATCATCAACATATAAGAGCAAAATAATATAACTCTTGTCAAATCTCTTGAAATAACAGCAATGATCTACTTGACATCTTGTAAAATCATTGCTGCACATAAACCCATCAAACTTCTTGTACCTACCTTGGGGCTTGTTTCAAACCATACAAGCTTTTTCGAAGTTTGCATACAAACTCCTCTTTGCCATGTGTCAAGAAACCTTGTGTTTGCTTCATGTAAATTTCCTCTTCCAAATCACCATGGAGAAAAGCCATCTTCACATCAATCTGCTCAAGATGCAAATCTGTAACAGCCACAATTTCTAGCACCAATCAGATAGTGGTTAACTTTACAACTGGAGAAAAAATTTCAGTGTAGTCAACCCCTTCTTTTTGCTGAAATCCCTTTGCAACCAATCTAGCCTTGTAGCGTTTACTCCCATCATGTTCCTGTTTGACCTTGTAAAGCCACTTCTTGTGCATAGCTTTCTTACCCACTGGTAATTCAGTTAACTCCCATGTCTGGTTTGCCATGAGTGAATCCATTTCATCCTACATAGCTGACTTCCACTTGATTGAATCATCAACCTGCAAAGCCTCATCATAACTTTTGGGTTCACCCCCATCAGACAACCACAAATAATGTAAAGATGGAGACCAACGCTGTGTAGGTTTAGACTCTCTTTTTGACCGTCTCAACTTAGGAGTAGGAGTATGTGGCTTAGTTTGTGGAATAAGATTTTCAAGATTATTCTGAATTCTACTATTCAAATCAGTCTCACTAATCTCTTCTAACTTAACATGCTCATGACAAGTAATAGATTCAGATTCAGATTCAGATGTAGACTTATCCCTATCTTTATACATTATTTTTTCATTAAATATGACATCTCTACTTCTAATTATTTTTTGATTTTTATCATCCTAAAATCGATAACCAAATTGATCAATGCCATACCCAACAAAAGTACATTTAACAAATTTCACATCAAGTTTACTTCTATCAGCAGAATCTATATGTACATATGAAACACAGCCAAAAACCTTCAAAAAAGAAAGATTTACCTCTTTATCGCTCTAAGCTTCTTCTGGTAACTCTCCATCCAATGGAACAGGTGGACCACAGTTAATCAAATATGCTGCAGTGTTAACTGCATCTGCACAAAACATCTTTGGTAATCCAGCATGTATCCTCATACTTCTAGTACGTTCATTCAGAGTTCTATTCATGCGTTCTGCAACGCCATTCTGTTGAGGGGTCTTTCGAACAGTCTTCTCTATTCTAATTCCACTTTCTGCACAGTATTTCTTGAACTTATTGTCCTCATATTCCCGTCCATTATCTGATCTCAAGCACTTAATTTTTAGACCTGTTTCAGTCTCCACCAAGGCTTTCCACTTCTTAAAAGTAGTATAAACTTCAGATTTATGTTTCAAAAAATAAATCCATACCTTTCTCGTTGAGTCGTCGATAAAGGTAACATAGTATGATGATCCTCCAAGAGATGAAACTGGTACAGGTCCCCACACATCTGTATGAACCAACTCTAACTTTTTTGACTTCGGTTTCTTGTCATCCTTTGAAAAACTGACCCTCTTTTGTTTGCCGAAGATGCAATTCACAAAAGTCAATGCCCACCGATTTCAAATCTGACAGTTTTTCCTTAGATGCAAGTACCTTCATCCTTTTTTGACTCATATGCCCAAGCCTTTGGTGCCACAGATTTGAGTCTTCCTTCTCACAAGCAACTGTTACTGCATCCCTATTGTTCGTAGTTATGTAAAGGGTGCCTTTTTTTTTAACCACGAGCAACAACCATGGCTCCTTTGGTGATTTTCCAGAAACCACCCATGAAAGTTACAACATGACCTTCATCATCAAGTTGTCCAACAGAAATCAAGTTTCTTTTCAAACCAGGCACATGTCTGACATTTTGTATCTTCCAAATAGATCCGTTTGGCAACCTGATTGTTACATCCCCTTTACTCAAAATCTTCAATGGTTCATCATCAGCTAGATAAACCTTCCCGAAATCACCACCAATGTAATTGTCCATGATTTCTCTTTGTGAAGTAGAATGGAATGATGCCCCAGAATCTAAAATCCAAGATTCAAAAGGGCTGTCAATACTCAAAATCAAAGCATCATAAATCTCCTCCGTTGTAGCATTAGTAGACTTCTGATTTTGATCACCTTTGTTCTTGTTCAATGTCGGGCAATCTCCTTTTAGATGTTCCTTCTTTTCACAGTTCCAGCAACTCTGTCCCTCTCCAATTCTTGACTTGCTTCTGTGTTTGGATTTTGATCTGTTGTGGTTCGGGTTTTTTCCTACTGATCTTCTTCTGGCTTCTATATTCAAGGCAGAACCTAATGTTTTCCCTAATTCCCTCTTGTGAATTTCTTCACTCAGATTTAAATCTCAAATATCATTGTAATTCAACTTTTCTTTTCCCGAAGAATTACTTACTGCCGTTACAGTACCATTCTAATTTTCTGGAAAACTAGATAGAAGGATCAAAACCCTAACCTCATCATCAAATTCGATAGATACAGAACTCACTTGTGTTCCCAACATATTGAATTCGTTCAAATGCTTAGCTACTGAAGCACTTTCTGACATCCTCAAATTAAACAATCTACGCATCAAATAAACTTTATTTGAGGCAGAGGGTTTTTTGTACATGTTTGAGAGTGCCTCCATGAGACCCGCTGTAGTCTGCTCCTTGGCTATGTTAAACACAACGTTACGAGACAACGTTAGCCGAATAACACCTAGCGCTTGGCGATCAAGAAAAGTCCACTCATCATCCTTCATCTTTTCTAGTTTCGTCCCTAAAAGGGGCTTATACAGTTTTTTTTTTTGATACAGATAGTCTTCAATCTGTATCTTCTAAAATCAGAAATCTGTGCCATTGAATTTATCGATTCTAACATTTTCGTCTGTAGCTATCGCTCCGACTCAAACTAATGCTCTGATACCAATTGTTAGGAATTGATCCTTAATAACCAATCGGTGAGACACGAAATAACAAACAAAGAAGAAAAACAAATCAAACAAATCACACACATACAAGAATACAAGGATTTACGTAGTTCAACCTAGAATAGGGCTACGTCCACAGCTGTTGTGGTTTTCACTATTATCAGAAAAATACAACTCTCTCTTGACCTAAAAGAGGTGCCCTATCATTTATTTATAAGTATAGAATTAGGATTACACGGAAGTAACATGGGAATTACGAAAGTACCCAAAAATTTCGATCCGGGAGGGGGGGAGAGGAAGGAGAGGCCCCCCAAACCCCCCATTAGACCCAATGTTTGAGTGAACAGTAAGGTTGAGTGAACAATACTTATCAGAGTCCACTGACCCAACAATAGCCAACAAATTAACCAACCTTAAAGTGTCCATTACAAAGACCACCTATAATGCCTAAAAACAATCTTGAAATGTGAATGAGCTTATTGCTATATGTGTACAAGAAGAGGAGATGAATAAAAAAGAAAAGGGAAGGAGTGTGAATATAGTGCATCAGCCACACCAGGGAAGGGGTCATACCCACAATCAGTCTTCTCAAAATCACAAGGGTAATAATTTTCGTAAAAGTCATAACTATCAGGGTAATCGTGGCAAGTTTAATTAGGGTCAGTCCAATAACTAACAAACTCAACTTAATAGTCCACTAGGGCCCAAGCGTGACATTAAAAGGAAATGAGTTACTGGTTTTGTAAGCAGAGTGGTCATAAAAAACTAGACTGTCACAAATTCAAGGCATGGCTAGATAAGAAGAACAAAAAAGAAGGTATCTCACTAGCCTTTGATTGTTTTGAATCTTCTTTAGTTGATGTGCCACCAAATTCTTGGTGGCTTGATAATGGAACATCTATTCATGCCTCCAATTCTTTGCAGGGGTTCATAAACAAACACAGGCCAAGTGAAAGTATAATATCCCCAACAATCATCTAGAGCCAAACACACTCCTATGTCAAACTCCATTTAGGATATCTAAACCCAACTCCAAACTTGATAGTAGGTGTGACCAAACACCTCATTTCAACAAAAAAAAAAAAAAAAGGGCAGATTTTTTTTTTTTTTTGTTTACATCGTTGTCTTCATGCTTTCCTCTCTAACTTCTCTCTCATTTTCCTTTACTTCCTTGGTGGCCAAACACCACACCCTTGCTCCACCCTTACACCACCACCTTAACCCACCATCTCCACCACCGCCGGCCACCTTATCTTGCCCGAAAAAAAGGTCTGGTCGGCCACTCCTTAAATCCATCCGAAAATAGCACAATAAAAGTACCAACTCTAGATTTTTCTTAATCTTTTGAAGAATGAAAGCATGGGTTTATTTTCTTGATGGATTAGAGGCTTGTAATTGGTAAGAATCTTTCTCTAAAAGTTTAGTCTAAGGTTTTACATATTTTGAGTTAGAGATTATAAAATTTTTGTATTTTAGATCTATTATGATTTGGGGTTTGAGTGTTGAATTTTATACTCTCAATTAGTTTCTATGAATGTTTTACATGTTAAAAAATGATCAATTTGATGGTTGTTTTGGAGATTAAGATTTTGGGTTAATCTAGGGTTTGAATGTGATGTAAAAATTGAGGATTTTGGTGTTAGGAAATTTATATGTTGAAATTGATTTGATAAATGGTGGATTGGGTATCTCTATGTTCTATGGAGGAATTTTATAAGTGATTGAAGAGATTTTACTTAAGTTGTTGAGTTGATAAAAAAATGTTAATTTTTGACTTTTGTAGTTAATTGATGGTGGTATTGTGCATATAAATTGATTGGATATATAAAAAGTTACTAACTCAAAGATGTACAAAGGATGGGTGTTGTGGAGATTGGATAAGTTATTTGTTTGGGTGACTTGAAGTTGGAGGAGTTTTTTAGCTTGTCATTCCTTAGCATAATTTTATTTAGGATCGTTTTTGTAGATGTTGTAATTTTCATTGAAAGCTTTTTCCTAATTTTAGGTCCTATTTATTAATTGTTAGGATTGGAGGAAGGCGTCTCTACACCTCTTGGGAATTAATTTGTAGAGTCTCAATCTACGCGTTTGCTATTTTTGGAGGTGAGTATACTTACCATGGAAATTACCTTACCTCTATCTTTATTATAAAGTTTGAAGATAATTTTGAATTAAAGGAAGTGAATGATACATTTCATCATGGTATATGTATAAAAAGAAAAATCTATAAATCTATAAATCTATTGAGGCCAATAGTTGAGTTTAAATAAATATATGATTTCATTTGTATAATGAAGCACTAATTTTTTTATGAGAATTTATTTAAGTTGAGTCCTTCAAATTTTATGATGATGATGATTGAATGACAATGAAACGTTGTACAAGGGTATATTTTTTTGTTTTGATCATATAACCAAATATAGCCTTTGGGGTCACAAGGGCCAAAATGCTTTGGGGTCCTGGGGACCGAAATGTTTTAAGGACCATAAGGGTCGTTGTATATATAAGGGGTCCCAGGGACTGAAACATTGAAATGAGAATTGAAGTGCTACGTTGACATGAGTTATGTTCCTATGGTTATGTTTTGGGTAACGGTACCGTCACCACCTAAGTCGCGAGATAATGCGACCCTAAGGCTATGTAGTGGTTCGTATGATGGACATGAAATCTTAACGTATTGAAAAGTTGTATTTATGTTTACTTTCATTATTTTTATTTTTAATTTGTATAAATTTCAGTCCAATTAAACTCTTATGTTTATTATCTTTATTTTGAACCCAATTGGAAGGAGCAAGTTTTATGACTCCATCGTATTGGTATACTCATTGGGCTTAGCTCATTCTTTTAAATATTTTTTTTTTTTTCAGATTCATAGACTTTTGTGTGGCTCGCCTCAACTCGGAAGACTAGAAATTTTTTGAAGGTGGGCATCTTGTAGTTGAGGTTTTGCTTAGGGTCATTCTAGGATGTAAGTTAACCTTTTATTTTTTTATGAAGGAGGTTGATTGTAAATATTGCTTATGAAGTTGGATGTATTGATGGATTCGTGATTAGTATGTATTATTTTTTTGGGGAGGAAATGCTTGGGAACTATCTTGTAGCATGATAATACTTTTTGTCTTTGAATAGATCATCTCATATATGTTGGGAAATTGAAAGGTCTTATGCACTTTTGCTGATGTGGTGATATGATGTAAGAATTATACAGGAATTGTGGTGTAAAGGTGCTATAGCGTTTGAGGTGCACCCTCTTGGCGGGGTTTTGCCTTGCCAAGATTGGGTCGTTATAGAAAGAGAGAATTGTGTCTACGTTGGTAATGGAGTTAGGGTCCCAGTGGATTTCGTTGGTAGTGTTAGGTTGTTTTTTGAGTCTGGAACCAGTTTTATTTTAGAAAATGTTGCTTTTGTGCCATCTATGAGACGGAACTTAATTTCAGTTTCAAAACTTGATGAGTCTAGTTATTGTTTTAGTTTTGGTAATGAAAAATTCGATTTGTCTTTAAATTCTATTTTGTTTGGGAATGGATGCTTGTGTGATGGTTTATATAAACTAAATTTGTCACAAAATCAATTTTCTATGAATGTTGAAAGCAAAGGAACTAAAAGATGTTTAATTAAGAAAACTCATCCATGTTGTGGCATAAAAGACTAGCACATATTTCTAAAGAAAGAATTGACAGATTGATTAAAACAGATATACTTCTTAACCTTGTTTTTCATGACTTTGAAGTGTGTCTGGATTGTAAAAAAGGAAAAATGATCAAACCAAGGAAACTAGAGCCACACGTATCATGTATCAAAGACCTTTTAGAAATTATATACACTGACATTTGTGGGCCGTTGTCTACTACTTTGTGTGGGAAAGAATATTTTATCACTTTCATAGATGACTACTCACATTATGGTTTTGTTTATCTAATTCATAATAAATTTGAATCTCTTGAAAAATTTAAGATTTATAAAACTAACGTTGAAAAACAAATTGGCAAAGTGATCAAAATTGTTAGATCTGATTGTGGAGGTGAATATTATGGTAAACATGGTGATGTTGGTAATATGGGACCTTTTGCTAAATATTTACAAAGTTGTGGAATCATTGCACAATACATCATGCCTGGGACCTCTGAACAAAATGGTGTGGCTGAGTGTCGTAATCACACTCTAAAAGAAATGGTGAGATGTATGATTAGTATGTCCAAACTACCTGAATCCCTTTGGGGTGAAGCCCTTTTGACAACTATGTATATCCTAAATAGGGTACTAAGTAAAGCTGTTCCTAAAACACCTTTTGAATTGTGGACTAGAAGAAAACCTAGTTTGAACCACTTTCGAGTTTGGGGTTGTCTTGCTGAAGTAAAACTTTATAATCCTTCTAAAACCAAATTGGAACCTAGAACCACTCGCTGTTGCTTTGTAGGTTATCTAGAAACCTCGAAAGGTTATAGGTTTTATTGTCCTGGTCATGGCACAAGGATAGTTGAGGTTGGAAACGTGAAGTTTTTAGAGAATGATGTAGGTGATTATGTGAGTTCGGGTGAATAGTCTAGAGCTCAAATAGATAAGCCTACATTTGTACCTTTGCCTATTGTGATAAACAAGTTCATTCCTTCTCACATAGAGGGAGTATGAGCACAAACAGATAATGAAGCCCCTAATCAACCTATTAATATACCTCAACTAGTTTAAGATGTACAACAAGCATAACCTCCTAGGTGCTCACATAGAGTTAGAAGGTCTGCTCTTCCAAATGATTATGTTGTCTTTCTAGGTGAGCAACATTATGAGCCCGAGGAAATAATTGATCCAGTTACATACAATGAGGTAGTCACAAATCCAAATTATAGCAAGTGGATTGATGCGATGAAGGAGAAGATACATTCCATGGAAATCAATGGTGTGTGAGAGCTTGTTGAGCTTCCTAAGGATTTTAAGCCCATTGGTTGCAAATGGGTATTTAACACAAATAAAGATTCCAAGGGAAAAGTTGAAAGATTCAAAGCAAGGTTAGTAGCAAAAGGGTACACACAGAAAGAAGGGGTTGATTATACAAAAACTTTTTCTCCTGTGTCCACAAAGAATGCTTTTAGATTGATTATGTCATTGACAGCACACTTTGATCTAGAGTTTCACCAAATGGATGTTAAAACAACGTTTTTGAATGGTGATCTTCTTGAAGAAGTATATATGATGTAACCAGAAGGTTTTGAGGAGTCAGGTAAAGAAGATCTAGTTTGCAAGCTAAAAAAGTCTATATATGAACTCAAACAAGCATCAAGGCAATGGTATTTGAAATTTCATCAAGTAGTCTCATCTTTTGGTTTTATTGAGAATACAGTTGATTCATGCATATATCTCAAGGTTAGTGGGAGTAAATTTATTTTCTTGATCCTTTATGTTGATATTTTACTTGCTACTAATAATTTGGGATTGTTACTTGATGTTAAGAAGATGTTGCCAAAAAATTTTGACATGAAAGATCTTGGAGAAGCATCTTATGTACTTGGCACTGAGATACATAAAGATAGACCTAGAGTTATTATGCTTGTCTCAAAGAGCATATCTAGATCGTGTTCTAGATAGGTTTAATATGCAAAATTGTAAGCCTAGTATTGCTCCTGTTTGTAAAGGAGATAAATTCAGTAAAGCTCAGTGTTCGAACAATGTTCCGTATGCTAGTGTTGTGGGTAGTTTGATATATGTTGCAGTTTGTACTAGGCCTGATATTGCATATGCTGTAAGTCTATTGGGGAGATATTTATCTAATCCAGGACATGAGCATTGGGTAGGAGCGAAGAAAGTGTTGAGGTACTTGCAGAAAACAAAAGATTGTATGCTTGTTTATAGGAGAGTTGATCATCTTGAAATTACTGGCTATACAGATGTAGATTTTGCTGGTTGTTCAGATGACATGAAATCCACTACGGGTTATATTTTTATGCTTCAGGTGGTGCCATATCATGGGAAAGTTGCAAGCAGTCACTTGTGGCATCTTCTATAATGCAAAAATAAGTGATAGCATGTTTTGAGGCTGTTACTCAAGTTGTGTGGTTAAAGAACTTTATTTCAAGGCTTCAAGTAGTTGACTCCATCTCTAGACCCATAAGAATTTATTGTGATAATATGGCTGCGATTTTCTTTACAAAGAACAATAAAAATTCTAGTGGTGCTAAATATATAAATCTGAAGTATTTCAAAGTTCATGAATGGGTGGATAATGGTGATGTCACTTATGAGTACATTGGTACAAAAGACATGTTAACAGATCCTCTCACTAAAGGGCTTAGACCAATTGAGTTTGTTAAACATGTTGAGCACATGAGTATTTTACAGTCTTTTGATGTGCTTAGGTAAAGATATTTTTTGAAGTATTTGTTTTTGATACATTAATGAGTTACCTTTTTAACTATTAAAATTTGATTTGTTGACTCTCATTTTATCTACAGTTATAAGTTTTGTGCACATTTGAATATTATTTGTTATTTATTTTAAGTGAGCTCATACAGTTATAGTTAATAATTTCTGAATGAATTTAAAGGCTTCAGTTTTAGAAATGTACATGGATCCATAAAGTTTCAAAACTTGTTTTGAGATTTAAAGGATTCCTTTGGAAGTGTAAAGGGGATAAAATCCCATTAATGGTCTTTTACGGAGGATTGAATGTGAAATTAGTATGTTATAATGGATTGGATTATTTGTGCTAAAAGTTTCACACTACACTTTATCACATACAAAACTTCATGTTGGTAGAATATTGGTATTTGTAATTGTAGAAGATATTATGCTAATAAATAACATAATTATCGCTGCAATTCAATATTAATATTTTCGTTGAACGGGATTTTGTGCTAAGATGTTTTTGTTCTGAATCATATTTATGTGGTCATTAAAGTTATTCAATCCGTGAGTCGTTTTATTAAATAATTTTTTTTTTAAAATTTTAAATTAGAAGTCAATGTTGCCTGAGAATGTAAAAATTTATTCTTAATTGGGTTGCCATTGACTATGTTTCATTTTAATTTGTAAAAAAAGGGTTGAAAGTGATTTAAACAAATTGACTAGTATGAGTCCACATTGATTTTGTGATTCATAAATTTTTGGGCCATGGTCCATCTTAGTGGATTTATTATAAGTATGTGGTATGGAGGTGTAAGGCTTATTTGAGTTATTTGGGTTCCTTAATAGGAGGGCCCAATAACTATTGTTTAGGCCCAGTCCCCTCTCCTATCCTATTAGGGTTTATGTATATTTATATATTTATAAATCAAAGGATTGTTAATCCCATTGAAAAACGACGTAGATATAGGAGAAAGAGGAGAGAAACTGGTGCTAAGATTTTTCAATTGTGAATATCATCTTCTTTCAAGAAAGCAAAACTCAAGGCAATGATGGAACTAAACGGTATGTATCTAAGTTTATATTTTAGCAATTAATTATATTCATAGTGCTTTGATTTATAGTATAAAGATCCTATAATCTTACATTCTATACATTGGTGAAACACTTTGTTTGAGAATTCTATTAGCACGTATATTCTTACTCAGTTTAGTTATCATTAGATACAAATGAATGATTTCCACATGTATTATTGATCAAGACCTTTGATCTAGTAGTCGTGTCGTATTTTTTTTGCAGGTATAGCAAATCCACAACGTATTCCTCAGACAGCATCAAACAAAAAAAGACGTGTTGAATCTAATATTCGATGTCGAAATCAGAGAGCTTAACAAGAACAACAACGTGATAATCCTCCCCTCCCATCCCCTCCCCCCCCTCTTTCTTCTTTTGCCCCTGCTCTAGAGGCAGTCCCTACTGTGGAAGATGAGGAACTTGTAGAGAACATCAATGATGATGCATCAATGAACGATGACTTATTAACTGGCCCATTTCCTGGAGGTCTTACTGATCCTTCTCTCCTTAGGAGCTT